TATAGGATTTTCTCTTCTATTTAACTTTTTTTTTTTTTACTGGGTTGTTTTGATTTTTCTCTTTAATACCAAAACACGTCATTTAAAGATAAAGGTTGGAAGAACTGAGAAGAATGATATTTTATTGCAAATTAGAAAATTTCAAGGAGGGTTACAAGAGGAGGTTTGAAAATAACTGACTGAGGTTGGCCGGTGTCTGGGCTTGAGTGATCATGACTTTAAGGAACGAAGCTTGGCATCCTTCTAGTTGTCTGATCAGTACCACTTCAAATAATTTCTTGACTTCTATAGAAGGTGATAGGGCTTCTAGGTCTTCCGTTCATCTTGCCTTAACGTCTTTTTTTTTTTTTTTGCTCTTAAGCATAGAACTTTTTAACGGCATCAGAGTTTACTGGGTAAGCGAGTTCTTCACCATCCATGTTAGTGAGGATCAATGCTCCTCCAGAAAAGGCTCGCTTGACCACGTATGGGCCTTCATAGTTTGGTGCCCATTTCCCTATCTTATCCTTCTGTGCTGGTAGAAGTTTCCTGAGTACTAGATCCCCCTCTTTAAATGGTCGTGGTTGGACTCTCTTGTCGAAGGCTCTCTTGATTCTCCTTTGATATGTTTGCCCGTGACAAATGGCGTCTAACCTTTTCTCTTCTATGAGATTTAATTGGTCAAATCTGGTTTGAACCCATTCAGTTTCTGGGAGCTTTGCCTCCGTGAGTAATCTAAAAGAAGGAATTTCCACTTCAACAGGAAAAATTGCCTCCATCCCGTATACTAAGGAAAAAGGGGTAGCGCCCGTCGATGTGCGAACGGATGTTCTGTACCCATGCAATGCGTAAGGTAGCATCTCATGCCAATCTTTATATGTAACGACCCTTTTTTGAACGATCTTCTTGATATTCTTGTTGGCTGCCTCAACTGCCCCATTCATTTTTGGCCCATAAGGGGAGGAGTTATGATGTTGAATCTTGAAAGAGTCACATAATTCAGTTATCATCTTGTTGTTGAGGTTGGACTCATTGTCTGTTATAATTTTGTCAGGTATTCCATAACGACATATTATGTTTTTTTTGACGAAATTGACTACTACTTTACGGGTTACATGTGCGTATGACGTGGCTTCAACCCATTTGGTGAAGTAATCAACAGCTACGAGAATGAATCTATGTCCATTTGAGGCCTTGGGTTCAATGGGTCCAATGACGTCCATGCCCCACATCGAGAAAGGCCAGGGCGAGGCCATTACATTGAGCTCACTTGGTGGGACTTGGATATTATCAGCGTATATTTGGCATTTGTGGCACTTCCTAGCATATAAGATGCAATCCTTCTCCATAGTGGACCAAAAGTATCCTGCCCTCATGATCTTTCTGGTCATGACCTGTCCAGCTATATGGGTACCGAAGGTTCCTTCGTGGACTTCCTTCATTAACGATCGAGACTCCTTCTGACCAATACATCTTAACAGGATGGAATCAAAACTCCTCTTGTACAGGGTGTTCTCATGTAGTACGAATCTGATAGCCCTTCGTCTGATTGTTTTCTTGTTCGTTGTCAGATGCCCCGACTGGGTATTTCCCTTCTTTGATGTATTGATGGATGTCAAAATACCAAGGATGGTCATCTTCCTTTTCCTCTAGTGTGCAACAGTGAGCTTTGCCCCGACTGGGTATTTCCCTTCTTTGATGTATTGATGGATGTCAAAATACCAAGGATGGTCATCTTCCTTTTCCTCTAGTGTGCAACAGTGAGCTTGTGTCTCATGTCGTCTGAGGATCTATCTAATAAAGTATCATATAATTTTTAATTTTTAAAAAAAATTATAAACATGATCTATATATTAAAAGTTTTTAATTTAATAGTTAAATATTTAAAAATTTGATATAGAATATTAGTTATTGAAAAGAGTATCTATCAAGATTTATTTTTAGAATAAGTAAATTTTTTTCTCATAAAAAATTAAGATAATTTTATCATAGAGTGAAAGTAATTAAATAATAAAATAAAATATCAATATATTTTATTATATTAAATATAATAAGATAATTAAAATATAATTAATAATATATATTTTATAAAATAACTAATATTTAATATAAAAAAAAATGAACTAAACTTAGTGGGGGCAACTGCCCCCACAATTGTCAACGTGGATCCCTCATTGGTTACACTTATGTCATGTAATAAATCCAAATAAACTGTAAATAAACTATTTCAAATGTCCCTTAATTTAATAAATATCTTAACTTTTTGTTTATTGATTTGTATTGAAGTCACTCAAGTTTTATTGTTACATGAAAAGAAAGAAACAATAAAGATAACGATATGCTACTTTGCCATGCCCAGTAATTCATATCTCTAGATAGATCAAGATCAATATTTTACTTTGTTGAACCACTGGGCAATGCATTAAATTATGCCCCAGACGGGTTTAGTTCATCCCAAGCTTCAATCCATATGACCATGGCATCTGCAAGCTTGTTGAAATACTCGTCAACCTTGCCAAATTTTGCCTTAACTTGCTTGGAGAGTTCAATGTAGCATTTTTGAGCAGTTGTGCAATCTTTTGGAAGAGATACAGATTGAAAAAATGGGATTAATTCCTCTTGCCAAAAAAGTCCTTTGAACTCCTTCTTAAGGTTCACAAATGGGTTGCTAGCTTTGTTGTGCCAAAGGTAAGGCAAACCTGTCTTCACCCCCAATCCTAGATGATCACTTATGACCTACATCATTAATAAAAAAGGTCAATTGAGCAGACGTGCGATGTTTTTCTCACATCAATTTCTATTAGTCTTTTTTTCTACGGTCATTATAAAACATTCATTTTTCTCTTTCCCTACCTAATGATTTGATTTTTTTAAGATAAAAACAATGTCAACAGAATTTTAACAAAGTTTGTAACATAATCCCTTCATGCACCAGCCAGCCCACATATCATCATAACGTCCAATAGGTTGACCATCACCCATTAGTCCAAAGTACATTGCAGGGCCAATTAATTCCCGATTGAATGCCAAATTCATTGCACACATAGGAAATAGAGCTCCCTTTGGTATAGTCATAACTGCATCTACATACCTGAGAAAATGTACAAGACACTACCTCATCAAAAGACAACATATCACCTTAAAATTACAAATGTCTCTTAAACAACTATAGCATGTTACAAATTCCAAGGATATATATCATATTCATACCTAGTGTTTCTCTCTAAAGGCTTGACAAGTTGAGTTGGGGCATCATAGTCAGGAATATTGAGCCAGAGACCATGAGAAACAACGGTTGGGACACCTTCACGCAAACTAAATGGGTATCCGCGAACAAAATCTGCACCTTCTCTATATGGGTCATATAGGGTGTTGAAAAAAAATGGGGTTGATGGAGTCTGAAGGTTCTCAATGTGTTGTTGCAAGGCATTAATTTCTTTGCCAGATGGATCTTTGGCAACCTTAAAATTGAAAGGAAATAATCAAGGACATCTGATCATATTACACTTGGGACTCCATAAACATGATATTAACATCATATACATAACAAACAAATCAACCAATACCAATAACATCATCATGTGGCTCAATTAGGCTCAAAATAATATGAAAGACAAAATAGATGATGTCGAAAGGTTAAATATACTATTAAAAAGGTTGTGATATAGTAACACAAAAATTATCATTAAAAATTACTTTTAATTACATAATAAATATAATATATGTTAGTATATTATTAAAAAATGTGAATATAGATTATAATACAATAATACACAAAATTTATTATTAAATTTTATTTAAAATTAACACGAAAATTATACATAATTATATGTCAAATAGATATATATATTTATATATATTATATTCATAATAACATTTTTTATATATCATTATATATAACATTTATTATAGTAATAATATTAGAGTTAATTATCTATACACTGCCAGTGTAAGACAATCAATTATATCTTTTAATTGTGTCATGTCACTTTTAAAAGTAAATGTATTTATAGTGACATGACACAATTAAAAGAAATAATTAGTTACCAGTGGTAGTAATGTATAAGTTATTAACTCATAATATTAATATGAATAGTTCTTGACAAAAGGATTAAAGAAAAGGTGAATTAATGTGATGAGTGAAACTCACAAAGCAGTCATCATCGATGGTGAAGATGTACTTCTTCTTGGAGAGCAAGAAGCCGAAGCAACGACAAGCACCGTCCAAGAAGGAAATGATATGGGCCTTGGGACCTAGAATGCGGTTGATGTCGTTGCGGTTGTAAAGGTCATAGTCAAAGCCTTGAGGAACCTTGATGACCTTGGAAGGGTCACCATCTTGCACTATTATTAGATGAAATCCCTCAAAGAATGGCCTCCACTTCTCCAAGAAGTCCAGGTTCCTTATCGTTGGGATCACTATGTCCACCTCCTCCTTCAAAATCCCTGATGACATGGTTCCTTCTTTTCCTACCTTGGATTCACAGATTCTAATATGCTACTACAGGGACAACACAATGTTGCATTTGTTTGTGTTGGAGTGGGAGAAGGGGTTCAAGGGGTTTTTATAATATTTGAAACACTTATGACTCGGATGGATGTGTCTAAGAAATTAATACAAAGGTCAAAAAGTGGAGATTTTGGATGTTGACTTACTAGTAAGGTATATTATGATAAGTTTAATATTATTACTATAATTATTTTATTAGTATTTTAATGTGTGTAATGTAAATATTAAATGTTTATTTTATATACCTAAAATTTATATTGTCATATATTAATTATATTATATTTAAAATTTGTAGATATATATATTTTTGAAAATATAAATTATATTTTATATGTTTGATAACAAATTATATGGTGATAAAATAATTTTAATTACTGATAATTTTTTCAAAATGATAATTTATTTTAAAAAGAAATTTAATTTAATATGAAAATTAAATATTGAAATAAATGAAAGATTAAAAATGTTATATCCCTTTTATTACATTTAATAATATCTTAAAGACATTAACTATTATACATGTTATATATAGTAACTCGTCAACGGGTATTTAATGGATTAAAAATATAATAAGTACTTTTATTAAAATATATGCAAGATATACACTAACAACGGATATTGAAATGATATTTTTATAATTTTATAATTATATATTTATGTCATTAATTAATTAATATTCATTTGCATATATATTAAATACACGCAATATACACTAACAACTAAAAATGACGAAAACAGTCGTATTCACGAATATTTATCAATAAAATCTGTTATAAATTTTAAATTAATAATTAAATGGGTATTCATTTAATAATAGAACGGACATAGATAGTAAAGTTACTCATATCCATGAATACTTATATTTTAAAAATATTAAAATATTCTTAATTATATACGATGTAGTTTAATTTAATTTATTTTTATATTAAATATGTGATATAATTATTTATATTGTATAAATTTATGTTCCAAATTTTTTTAGTATAAATGTATGTTTTAAAATTATTTAATTTTAATTTTATTTTATTTCTTACTTTTTATTTAAAATTTTATATTTTTTCAAATATTCATAAATATCGATGAATATATAAATTTTTTATTGATATCCACACTAAAGAAACTGGTGGTAAGAAGCTACTATCCATTCTGTCCCGTTATTATCTTTATAGTTAATCACTTATACACCGCTAGTGTAAAGTTTTTTTTACACTAGTAACCAATTATATCTTTTAATTGTGTCATATCACTGTTAAAGTAAATGTGTTTACAGTAACATGACACAATTAAAGAATATAATTGGTTGCCAGTATAAAAAAAACTTTACACTAACAGTGTATATATGTGATTAACTCTTATCTTTATTAGCAACTGATATTAAATGACATTTTTAAATATAAATTTAAGACATAAATTAATATTCCTTTTCAAATATAGTAAATATGTAATTGACTTGTCAACATGTATTTAACGTGTATAAAAGTAAAAAAAAATATTTAAAAAATATTTAATATAATTTTAATCCTTATAAAATAATATAATTTTGATTTTTATCCTTATAGTATTTTTCTCATCCTCTAAAACTTTGAATCATGATTTTTATCTTTATAAAATACACAGTTTTTTTTTTTTGTCTTGGTTTTATATAATAAAATTTTTAAAATTTTAAATTTTTAAAATTTTAAATTTTTAAAATTTAAAGTCACTAATTTTAGTCTCTAATGTTCATTTTTAAGTAGATAATAACATTTTCTTTAAATATTTATAATTTTTATTAGAGATATCATGTTCTAAAATATAGTGTTATAGATAATTGTGGGTATCACTTAGAATAGTTACTTATTCTTTTATTAAACAAATAAATAATTAACATGAATGATACGATAATAATGACTAAAAGCAATTATTCTAAAGTTTAGAGAGCTTAAAAATAATGGAAAAAATTTGATACTTTTTTTGGTTCTCTAATTTTATTTTATTTTTGTATTAAATTAGTATCTCTGACAACAAAACATGTTGAGGTTGGTTTTTATTTATACTTTTAAAGAGATTCAATTAACACAAATTATTTTAATAAACAAGGACCAATAACATGTTTTATTTTTACACAAACTAATTCAATATATACAAAAAAAAGAAGAAGAAGAAATCGGAGGATTGAGAATGAATTTTAAAATTTTTAGAGACTAAAAATTACTTTAAACTAATCACTTTTTACAATGACTAAAATCAAAACTTGCTCTTATAAAAAAAGAACATATTTGAGTTTGTTTTTAATTAAGAGTTACACAAAAGAAATTAATAATTGAGAATTATAACTTTTACCCTTAATAAAAAATATTTAGAGTTTAATCTTCTCCATATAGAAGTTAAAAATATATACTTTTTGAATAAAAATGATTATAAGATCATTCTTTAACAAAATTGTTTTTTAGCTATTTTTCTCAAATAAGATAATTTTTAGGATTTTTTTAACTTCCTACCTCTTTTAATATGTCATTTTTATTTTTATTTTAAATTTTGATTATATTTAAAAAAAATTAACTATAAGTAAAAGACTTAAATATGTTTTTGATCTCGTGTGATTTTAGTCTCTTAAATTTTAATCGAATAATTTTAGTCTTTCTAGTACTATAATTATGTGATTTTGGTCTCTCAAGTATTACAATTACACAATTATAACTACTAGAATTTCTCTTATTATATGCAATTTTTCCTACGGATTTTGTATTAAAATCCGTAGTAAACATTATTCCTATGAATTTTTTTGCAAAATTTTATCTGCAGGTAATACCTTCGTGGATAATATGTTTTTGCGAATTTTAAAATTTGCAAGAAATTTTCCTACGAAATTTCTTGCAAAAAAAATTTGCAGAAAGTTTCCTGCGAAATTTCTTACGAAAAAAATTTACAGGAAAGTTTCCTGCGAATTTTTTCCCAAGAAATTCTGCAAGAATATTTTTTATGAAAAAATTAAAGAAGTTACTGCAAATTCTATCAATAATTCTTCAACTTTCAAATGCTTACAATGAATTCATCCCAAACATTTGTTTCCATGCCTCCAACATGTGATACATAATCTTTTAAACTTTAAGATTGTAGATTATAAGCCTAACACTCAACCATACAAATCAACTTGTAAGGTAAGTGTTGCCCCAACTTATATACTCTTTAATTGTTTTATTTTCAGTCAATGTGGGACTCGAAGTTTTTTTCTAAATATTATCCTTATAAATTTAAATATTTTTTTTTATTTTTCCTGCGAATTAAAATTGGCAGGAAAATCTACAGGAAAAGTTACTTGTAAAATTTTTCTACCATTTAGTAAACATTACTTGCGAATTTATTTTTGCAAGAAATAAAATAAAATTCTTACAATATTTTCTGCAAATTTGTACCATGAAAAAAATTTCTATGATCATTAAAATTGTAGCAAAATTTGCAAAAATTTCTTGTAGATTATTTTTCATAAAAAAAATTATAAGAAATATCTATAAATTATTTTTCTTAAATAAATTTGTAAAAAAAATTTGTGAAATTATTATTGCAAGAAAATTCGCAAAACATTTCTGCGAATATTTTTTTTGTAGAAAAATTCGCAGGAAAATGAGACTTTTCTAGTAGTGTATAATATTTGGTGGACTTCAATTTTTCAATTAGAACCTTAGGGACCAAAATCAAATAATTGTATTATTTATGGATTAAAAAAAAAATTAAGTCTAACTAAAAATATCATTGTATTGTGTCATTGAGGGATTAAAATTGTTTAATTAAAAGTTAGAGAACAAAAAATCACACAATTGAGATACTTGATGAAATAAAATTGCTTAATTAGAACCTTAGAAACCAAAATTACACAATCGTAATACCAGATAGATTAAAAATGCAATTATGCCTAACTAAAAATATCCTTGTATCATAATGAAAGTTGTTTATAATAAGTTTAAATATATTTTATATTATTACAAAATAGCCTAACTAAAAATAGTTTTGCGATACTTAAAGGACTAAAATTGTTCAATTAAAATTTGGAGGACAAAAATTGCACAATTACGATATTTTATGAACTAAAATCGCTCAATCAAAACCTTATGATGCAAAATTGTACAATTATAATACTAATGGATGAAAACACAATTAAGCTTGACTAAAAATATCCTTGTATCATAATAAAAGTTGTTTATAATAAATCTAAATACACTTAATATTATTACGAAATTTAATTATGATATAATTTAAATATTTAAATATTTATTTATTATGAATTTAGTAATATAAGATAAAAGTTTAACATGTGGATTCAATATATTAAATAATAATTCAATTTATATTGTCATTGAAAATAATTATTGTTCAAAATTTTTTTCAAGTGTTTTAATTGGGGGTACTTATAAAGACAGTTTGACATTCAAGTTAGAGGAAAGTCTAGGTTTAGTGTGAAATTGGAGTAGAGTGTTACCTGGTGTTCCATATATGTGATTGATCTTATCTCTAGGTTTAGAGATAATTATGGCATGACATCTTGGAAGTATATTACCGTGGTTGCTTGAAGATATTGTTTATTGTAAATGAAGATATTTTGTTAAGTGTAGAAGATATTTGTGTCAAGATATATTGCTAGCCATTAGAAGCTAAGCACCTAGAGTACTTTATGATGGTAGGTTGGAGTTGTGCAATACATAAACCCCTTGAGCTCTGAACTCTTTAAAGGTAAGGATTTGGAGTTGTGCTTAAGTTGCCTTATCTGTATGGAGGTAAGTTGTCTAACTTGAAGCTTGGGGTATTTTTAATTGAACATGGACCAACTTGGATATCTTGGGTTGATGTCACTAGGTCTTTTTGATGGTTTTCTACGTATCAGTAGGTCCCTGAGAGCTTGTATTAAACCATAAAAAGCCTTTTTCAGTTTGAAAATATGTTATTTTGGGGTTTTCAAAACCTAGAGGTTGCCTTACAAAGACTTCCTCTTCAATAATACCATTTATGTTAAATAAAAAATCTTGTTTTAAAGAC